GTCATCGGTCATCGGTCATCGGTCATCGGTCATCGGTCATCGGTCATCGGTCATCGGTCATCGGTCATCGGTCATCGGTCATCGGTCATCGGTCATCGGTCATCGGTCATCGGTCATCGGTCATCGGTCATCGGTCATCGGTCATCGGTCATCGGTCATCGGTCATCGGTCATCGGTCATCGGTCATCGGTCATCGGTCATCGGTCATCGGTCATCGGTCATCGGTCATCGGTCATCGGTCATCGGTCATCGGTCATCGGTCATCGGTCATCGGTCATCGGTCATCGGTCATCGGTCATCGGTCATCGGTCATCGGTCATCGGTCATCGGTCATCGGTCATCGGTCATCGGTCATCGGTCATCGGTCATCGGTCATCGGTCATCGGTCATCGGTCATCGGTCATCGGTCATCGGTCATCGGTCATCGGTCATCGGTCATCGGTCATCGGTCATCGGTCATCGGTCATCGGTCATCGGTCATCGGTCATCGGTCATCGGTCATCGGTCAACGGTCATCGGTCATCGGTCATCGGTCATCGGTCATCGGTCATCGGTCATCGGTCATCGGTCATCGGTCATCGGTCATCGGTCATCGGTCATCGGTCATCGGTCATCGGTCATCGGTCATCGGTCATCGGTCATCGGTCATCGGTCATCGGTCATCGGTCATCGGTCATCGGTCATCGGTCATCGGTCATCGGCAATTAGATTCTCTTTTTCTCTCACCACTGTGAGGGCTATTTCAATATCATTCGGATTTCTCAGTGTCACAACTGACTATAGATTATAAGGTGATAAATTAATGAAGGTTTCAAGGGCAAATTCATCATATTGTTTGACTTTGATTCGTTGTCCTTCAGCATTCTGTATTTCTGTACCTAATTTTGAAGATAGAAGGCTTCTAGCATCCTGAATTTTCATACCGAATTGTATAGGTTTCTCATATTTCAACGTGATCAAATCTTGGACCAAACAGTCAATGCTCCTTTGATCACTGAATGTAAATGTCAAAATATTTTCAATAGAGGTCAATGAATTCGATTCACTTCGACTGTTAATCAAATCAGCTGCACGATTTTTCAATTCACTCAGGATCGTATCAAGTTTGCAAGTATGCATGGATGGCATGAAGGATCAGTTTTATTTTGGAAATTTTCAATGAAGTTATAGCAAGCAGAGATGAATCTCAGCTTGGTATCTCAAAATAAAAATTGATAGAGGGCACAGTTAAACTATCTGTCGTTTGATATTTTGAACTCGAATAATTAAGATTAATGTCGTGACTATGAATATTTGTAACATTATTATGTGTTTCGGCGCTCTTAGAAGCAGTAGCGTAATTAGAAACACTTATGGCAGTTTCGCAAAGAATTTTTTCAGCTACGTTAACTTTGTTTCGATTTGAATTTTCAATATATCCCTCAGCAACATCAGTGGATTTCCAACCACCGAGTCGTTTGATTGCAGAAAAGTCTGCTCCACTGCCAGAAAGAATTGAAGCAGAAGAACGCCGAAAACAATGTCCAATGTATAGTTGTGGTTGTTCTAATTTCAGAAATTTCGCTATGACTGACGGCAATTTGGCAAATGTATTCATGCCAACTGGTTGTACTGAACATTTATCGTTTCTGTAGAAGATGAAGAAACGTGTGTGAGGTGCATGAGCTGGTCTCAATGAAATATAGCGTTTTATCAAATTTTGAAGTGTGTGTTGTTCATTGTCTACCACGGTGAACATCCTGTTTTTATGCGTTTTAGTTGCCCTTATTGTCACTAAAAATTTTGAACCCATATCTTGCACGTCATTCGTTTGTAATTTAAACAGTTCATCCTTTCTCAATGCTCCAGCCACTCCGAAAATAAATAATGATATATATTTTTTGTAAACAGCAAATAATTTGTGATATTTTATAACGTTATTGAAGAAAAAAAGGAAGTTGACAAAGAATATAAAAAAAAGTTTGCTGCCGTGAGGAATGAACCCTCGACCTCTATGCTATACCATTAGCACTTCCTTAGCATAATACTACTTAGCTATCTCGCTTGCGTAAATGATGTACACGTATTTGTGATATTGAACAGTAAACTGAATTTTCTATTTCTAATGAAATTATGTAGTTTCATTAACTTTTCATTCATATTTACCTTCGTCATTAGGAATATGTTGTTGGGAGCACTAGCGATAAATTTATGTATGTGTTCTTTCTCCAGGACCTTGGACTTTTTCGGAACATATCCCACTCTTTGTCTCTTGATGAACATAATCAATTTATTGTATTTACTTTTATCAATGTTTCCTTTCACCATCAGAGTTGATTTGAGCATCGAATATTTCGGCCACAAACTTGCTATGAGGCCTCTTTCTGCAATTGTGCTGAAATAAGCCAATATCGCTGTTTCCGAATAGCGTGATATTTTCTTCTCGTTACACCAGGAAACAAATTCTAAATGAGTTTTTCCATAAATGTGTCTGCTTTTTTCTGGTAATGAAGCCAAAGAAGCCACTTTAGCAGTTTCTGTTACATCAGGGGGTGTCAAAGTAAAATTTTCTTCCATATCCATTTTTCTTTAACTACCTACTCAATAATATCATACTTTTGACAGCGCGAAATACCTCGGGAAAACATTTGAATTCGTGTAATCGTGTATGCTTGGTTGTCTATGCTACTATAGTGCATTAATAGACAAATCGTTCATTAATAGGGGTCATTAATGAACGATTTCATATTCATTAAACTCGGTCATTAATATGAGGTCGACGGAAATGCTACATTTACTTGGGTCATGTTCCGTAGTTTATCTTCCAAATTGGTATTTGAAAAGCTTTCTATAACTTCCTGTATATCAGATAACGAAATAAAATGATTGAACATATTATAGGCAAGTTTCTCATACTGAGCTGAAAAACTATGAAAACTGTGAGAATTTGGATTGGATTTTTGGTTCTTCTGAATTTTGAGCACTAACAGTGTTATGACTAGTTGCATTCTCTCATTCAGGAACAGCGATGTGTGTCTGATTCCTCCTGGAGTTTCTTATTGTTTAAGTTTCTCACTGCTAGGGTTCTTTATGCTAGGTGCCAGCTCCTGACGATTCTTGTTCTGGATCGCTGAAGGACTGGATTGACAGATTTGGCGATTTTTGTCCTTTTGCTGCCTCGGGTTGTCAAAGTCAAAGTCAAAAAGTGCTTTATTGTTTGAGAATGAGATTCTCGTAACAAAGCATGGACGATCAAAATTTAAAATATGAAAAAATATCGAATAATATAAATATGAGTCATTTCAAGTACTTATACGTTGGTAAATGAAGACAACATTACAAATAATAAACTAACAAGAAACAAACACTAGACAATACATTTGAAGCCTAAATTATGTCGAGGCAGAGCCTGCTTGTGGGGGATCAATAAAGTCAGTTGGAAAATAAACAACTTAGAAAGTAGTATCTGCTAGGAATTGGTCAACGGCATAAAATGCCTTTTTGATCAGTATTTTTTTTTACAATTTTTTTGAATCTGCAATGTAGTGAAATACCCTTGATCACATCAGGTAGGTGATTGAATAACTATAACTTCCTGTATATCAGATAACGAAATGAAATGATTGAACATATTATAGGCAAGTTTCTCATACTGAGCTGAAAAACTATGAAAACTGTGAGAATTTGGATTGGATTTTTGGTTCTTCTGAATTTTGAGCACTAACAGTGTTATGACTAGTTGCATTCTCTCTTTCAGGAACAGCGATGTGTGTCTGATTCCTCCTGGAGTTTCTTATTGTTTAAGTTTCTCACTGCTAGGGTTCTTTATGCTAGGTGCCAGCTCCTGACGATTCTTGTTCTGGATCGCTGAAGGACTGGATTGACAGATTTGGCGCTTTTTGTCCTTTTGCTGCCTCGGGTTGTCAAAGTCAAAGTCAAAAAGTGCTTTATTGTTTGAGAATGAGATTCTCGTAACAAAGCATGGACGATCAAAATTTAAAATATGAAAAAATATCGAATAATAATAATATGAGTCATTACAAGTACTTATACGTTGGTAAATGAAGACAACATTACAAATAATAAACTAACAAGAAACAAACACTAGACAATACATTTGAAGCCTAAATTATGTCGAGGCAGAGCCTGCTTGTGGGGGATCAATAAAGTCAGTTGGAAAATAAACAACTTAGAAAGTAGTATCTGCTAGGAATTGGTCAACGGCATAATATGCCTTTTTGATCAGTATTTTTTTTTACAGTTTTTTTGAATCTGCAATGTAGTGAAATACCCTTGATCACATCAGGTAGGTGATTGAATAACTTGAGCCCATTATAAACAAAGGAGTTTTTTACAAGAGTCGAATTTGTTATGGGTAGTCTGATATTATTAGTATGTGTCCTTGTATTATATTGATGTTTCACATTTTTATTGGCCAATTTCTGCAGTTTCTTGTGAATTAAACAAACAGTTTCCAAAATAAATAGAGCAGGTAACGTCATGATTCTCTGTTCCACAAACATTGACCTGCAGGAATCATTTAATTTTGCCTACTCAGTTTTCCGATAGGTTAGGCTATGCTTGTCCCGCACTATCTTATGATTTGACTTGACTTTTTCCGGATTTTTTCGAATTTGCTGAATAATCGTTGACACGAAAAAACTTCTGCGTTAGCAAACTTCTTCAGCAATCCTACTACAACTGTACGGCTCATCTATAGTAAGAAAGCTCCAAGTTGGTATAGAACACTTTTGATGTTCGCATTCCAAATATTCAGTGAATCCTATTGTATTTGGTATTTTCAATAACTTTCTCTCGTTCACATTTTGACAATATCTTGAGTGAATGAAAGAATTGTGAGTGCAAAGTTGAGTTACCTGGTATGAAACATTCCTGCGCTAGAATGTTGTCTCCCTATCTCTTTTTCCAATCATCTCGATTCACACCCATTTACGAATAACTAGGATAACATGATTATATTCATACTATTTCAATCATATAACTTACCGCTGTTATTCCAGAATCAATCCCACTTCTGCCTACTAATTGGTTTGGTAATGGGCTTTACAATTGCATTCGTCGTGATAGCCCCTAACACCCTATACAGACCAAAGAATGAGTATTTTTCTTTCCATCCACGATCCGGCCAGATAGATGATAGTCCAGAACATCCAGGTGAGTTTCAATTCTGACTTTCATCTAATTATGATGCTTTCGAGAATGATGGGTGATGAGTTTACCGGTACTCGTACAGACTAGAAGAGTCACCATTGCTTTCTTCCGCTCCGGGTTGATCTAGTTTGTTTTGGAAAAGAAGGAGTTTCAAATTTATTGGGATATACATTCCACACTCTCAGGTAAAACAAAAATTATAAGCATAATTAAGTCCTTCCTGATCATCAGATCAAGCAGATATTTGTCATCGTGTTTTCGACTTCAGCTGGCGAATGACGTCTTCGAAGAGGTGGGGGGTTGGACAAAATATAGATGATATGCTCTTCGAACCCCACATAATATGATGATAATAATGATGATGATTATGAAAATAATAGTCATAATGATAATGATGATGATCATAATATTAATATTGATGATGAAAATAATAAAAATAAGAATGATCCAGACCATTCTGTGAAATCGGTCATCCTGATAATCGGCTTCCTAGAAGGCACACGACATACGCTGCTGGCGGGAATCCAGAAAATGCCAGCGTGCAGCGATAAGGTACACATCCTGGCTGGTGGAATGCAGAAGGCCGTCATACTTGGATAATTGCGATTACTCAGGGCACACGATTATTGCTTCCAGTGAATATTCACCCCACAGGCTGTGGAGAGTAGTCACTGGATATTATACAGCACGACCGTACGTGGCTTCGGAGGCCGCGGAGTCGTGACTGAAATGATATGAATTCAAATGATAATAGTAATGATGATAATGATAATAATAGTGATAATAATGATAATAATCAAAATATTATAATCGATAACTCGGATTTGGATTCGATAACGAGCAAGAACGTCCCAAATTCTCAAGATAGTCCTAGGAAGAGGACAAAAGAATGGTGGCCAAGAGGCAAACTCAGAAAAGAAATTTCCAACTCACAAGCGGATACGGATGCAATTTTGTGTGATGACAGAGTTATTTCAGATCCTGTAGAGATTTGCGAATCATTCTATAATCACCTCGCAGTAGCCAGTAGCTCGAACAACTATAGAGAACACTTCATGAACATGAAAATGATTGAAGAAATTAATGAACTTGATTCCAGTACTCCACTCCACCTGCGCTACAACCTTGCCATCACGATGAACGAAATAAAATGTCCGCTCGAAAATTGCTCGGAATATGCTGCCGAGCATATTCATCTTCTCCTTCTTTGAAGCACTGGAGGGCAGGTGAACACCCCTGCACGTAGGCCTCCTCATTCGGGCCCATTGTGCGCCCTCCGACATTTAGGTAAGTATGCCGACTTCCTTGGAGAAGTTCAGCAAGTCCTTTATCTGAATCTCTTCCACTTCCTCTGGCCTCAAAATTATGATTTTCAAGGACAGCCCTCCTGTAATGTGTCAGTGCTGGGCACCATCTGCGTTGGGGATGATCTCTGATCCCAATAAGCTCTAGGTGCCTATTGAGTTGGTTGTGCCCCGTTAGGAGCCCCACTACCATTTGAGGTATCGCCTGTTGACGGATGAAACCTCTTTTGTGAGTCTCTCTGGAGGTTCCTTCATGTGGATTGTCTCATTCCTGATGTGTCCTGCCGAATTTTTAGGAATTGCTTTCGCAGCTGTCCCTTGATGAAAGACATTGTCAGACTGTTTAGTATTATCAAGATTGGTTCCGGTCTGACTGGAGTTCGTCCTGGGCCAGTCTGCCAGCCTCCTCATTTCCGGGTATACTCGAGTGTCCCGGGACCCACATGAGGCTGACTTTCCTTGATTTCGCTAGGTTTTCCAACCAACCAAATTGGTTGTGATCCTATTAGATTGCAAAGGCAGTATCGCAGTTTTGCTGTCCGAGCATATAATGATTTGTGTACGACCTCTCATGATCAGGCTTCCTTGGACACAGGTAAGTATTGCGAGTACTTTAGGCTGAAACACTGAGGTATATTCACTCGAAGGAACCAAGATTCCTTTTCTTGTTTCTTCATTGTATACCCCTGCACCTGAACTGCCCCCAAATTCAAAGTCATCAGTATACCAGATTGGCTCATTGGGAGGAGGCCCGCCAGGTGTTGTGTCATTTTATACTCATCTCGTAGGGATGACAATGCTTGGGGCTTTGCTGAAATCCAGAATCGACAAGGTACTGTCCCTTCTCATCATGAGGATGGAACAGTTTCACTTTTCATTTCATTTCATTTTCATTTTCAGAAAGCAGTTCTCATGGCTTCGTGTTGTACAAACAGGTCCAGAGCCCTGATAGGCGGCGTTCTCGGAGCACCTGTTATTCCCAGGCAGGCCAGTGTCTGGACTTCATCCAGTTCTCTTATGGTCTTGCCCATATTTGAACTGGTCCACCATACAATGGACCCGTACGTGAATGCTGGGCGAATTACTGTCGTGTATATTCAGTGGAAACTCCTAGGTGTTGGACCCCATATTATGCCAAAGGCTTGTCTGCATGCCCAGAAGCAGCATACAGCCTCCTGGGTGCGGTTTGCAATGTGCTCATTCCAAGTGAGCTTGAAAACTATTGAAACTCCAAGGTACTTCGATGAGCTTCAATATTGGAGACACTTTCATGAGATAAATATTTCAGGAAGTGTTCCTATTTTGCGTTCCTAAGTGAATAATAACAAGTTCGCCTTTTCTGGATTGACTATCAATCCACTGGTGTAGCACCACTGTTTCACTCTATTGAGGGCTTCCTCAATTGGGTTCCCTAGCCGAATCACCGATTGGCCTTGGCCCATTATTACCAAGTCATCTGCATATGCTTGCGCATATAGCGCTGGCTTATTCAAATCTATTAGGAGATCGTCCACTACCAAACACCATAGCAGTGATGATAAAACCCCTTCTTGAGGACATATTCTTGATTCACCACTCGCTGCGATAGCATGGCCCTGATTCCCCTGGTCAAGGTTAAATGAAGCCCACAGCATGGATTCGAATGATGATTTGTCAAATGCCACCGGCTAGCACTATTTCTATCTTATGGACAAGATGGTGGAGAGCCGCATCTGTGGACTTCTCAGTCTGTTAGGCATATTTTTGTACGGTTCTTCTCATGAGGAGAGACGTGAGGCTGGTGGGTCTATACGCTTTGACATTGAAATAATCTATTGTTCCTGGTTTCGGCATGAATACGATCCTAACCAATATCCATTCCACTGGTTTGTGGCTCAGAACCAGACAGGACCGAAATATCTTCAGAAGCAGGGAAATGAAAGTATCCAGTTCCTCTTGTTGGAAAGCCGGAAATATTCCATCTTCCTTCTCACCTTCTCGTATGTAACTACCTTTGACGCCGTTCAATAGTCCATGTGCGTTCTCTGTTGGTTATTTGTATATTTATCTTATTATTTTGATATGAATTAATAATAATTCCTCATTTATCGTTTTTTATATTTGTCTTGTTTATTATTAACAACTGAACTATATTAACAAAATATGTGATGACATTGATTGACAAGATATCATTTTTATAGTCTATATAATGAGTGTTGTCGAATATGATTCATTGAAAATACTTTGTTGTTATATACTGGATGAGATCCATATTACTAGCACACTCCCTTATTAACAACAAATATTTCAGTCATATCAGACAATGAATCATTCAGAACATATTATGAACAAATAATATTTTTGAAAATAAAAAACAATATTCATAAATATCAGATCCTCCACTCCCTGAAACCAAAAACATTCATGAAACTATTATGTGTCCCATGTCTTCATCAGCCGTTTTTTCAAACTTGAGAAAGTTTGGAAAAGTACTGGTTTTGTGAGGATATCTGCCAGTTGTTGATCTGATCCACACCATTTGATCTTGAACCAGCCTTTGCTCAATTCATCACTTATGAAGTGGTACTTTACGTCGATGTATTTGCTTTTTCTTGTTGCTTGTCCTGACTTTATCATTTTTATCGCACTCTGGTTATCCATGTATAGGGTCATTTTCACTGGTTCATTCATAAGTTCTTCAATAAAATTCTTTATGAACTTCATTTCTTGGCAACAATGGGCTGCAGCAACATATTCAGCCTCTGTTGTGGATTGAGCAACAATTGATTGTTTCCTCGAACACCATGCTATAGGTCCACCTGCATACATTATAATGAACCCAGTAGTGCTCTTTCGATTAGTTAAATCTCCAGCGTAATCGGAATCACAGAAGGCTTCTAGATATAAATTCTCTTTATTTGATGAGTAGTGTATTCCTGTGTTTTTAGTACCATTCAGGTATCTGAGGGTTCTTTTTACATTGGTGATATCTTGTTCAGATGGATTGCTCATGAACCTACTTTCATAGTTTACTGCAAATGTCATATCGATTCTTGTTTTTGTTGTTAGGTATAGTAAACTTCCAACGACCTCATTGTAGGGATATTCTGTATTTCTTATGGAATCTTCGGTTGGTTCCATTTTCACAATTGGTGTTTTCACTGATCTGGCTTCTTCCATATTATATTTCTTCACAACTTGAGCACCATACTGTGTTTGATGAATCAGTATTCCTTGTTGATCTGAAGACCAAGATAACTGGTAGGGTTTTCCATCACTGTTATTTCAAAATCATTTTTCAAGCAGTCTAATAATCTTTGCATTTCCTCGATATCTTCTCCCAATTAATAGTAGTCCGTCGTCAACATGAACAGCAAGGAACATTTTTCTAGGTGATCCTATGTATTTGAATATACACTGATCTGACTTGAGTTGTATGAGATTTTGTTTTTTTAGAAAATCAGTCAGGCGTTTGTTCCACTGTAAAGGAGCTTGTACTAGACCATATAAAGCCTTTTGTAGTAAACAAACTTTTCCGGGAGCATGATAACCTTCTGGAACTTTCATAAATATCTCTTCTTCCAGATTTCCATTCAAGAAAGCTGTTTTCACGTCAAATGAGATGATCTAGAGGTTTTCTTGTGCAGCTAGTGCAAATAGAACTCTTAGAGATGTAGTTTGTACAACCGAGCTGAAAATATCTTTGAAATCTAAGTTTTC